CTAGATAGGTCGATCCGTCGACTAGAAGTAGCAAAAGTGCGAAATGCCCCCCCCCCAAGCAGCAAAAGGGCGAAATGCCGAACTGCGTCCTGCGGTCCTATATTAGGCTCGTTTTACGGCGAATGCATGGCCCATCAAAACTAAAAACAAAATCTTCTCGAGTTGATCGCACCGATTAGCATCGCGTTTTCTGTTTGTACACCTTGCTAACTGCACTTTGTATCGATGCTCGTCAACTTGTTCATTGCCGGCCAAAAAACTGGCCAACGACAAGGGTATAGTGATTGACGACCGTGCTGTAACCGATCTACATGATGAAAGAAATTGAAGCTTCTCGAAAACATTCCCCTGGGAACAACTTTGGTTCTGAAATTGATTTTCGTGGAACTTTTGGAATTTCAGGAAATCGACGCCGATCGAGCAAGTCATGCCGATGGGCTGCAACGAAAACCGTCTAAGGTATGATTTATCTTTTGATTTCCGCTAATTTCGAGTTGCTTTTTGGGGTAATAACAGGGGGGGGGGGGGGTAGCGGGAGGGGATGGGTAAAGGAATTCATAGGACTTTTGTGTAAAAAAGGGAATGGTGTCATCCAAAGAGAAGTTCACCTCTACCTTGAAATTAGTTCCACCAGGTCCAGATCTCCTCCCATTTCAGGCTGAGGCAAAAGCCCCCATCCTTGTTCAGTTTTGCAAAGAGTCTTCTGCACAATGTTCCCCTGCTCCTCCCCCTTCCCCCAGGGTTATTTGCAGTCTTGTGCAGGTAGTTCAGAGGGCTCTGTGCTTTGTCGCAACCCGACCTCCTGACCCACACCTAAAGGTGGATACCTTGGAGTAGGTTGCAGTGAAATAAAGAAACAGAGTAAAGAAGGAGGGAGTGTACTGAGGGGAAGAAATGCGGAGAGAAAATAAGAGGGAGGAGGAAGTTGGGCAGAGAACGGGCGAATGAGCGCACAGGGAAGAGAGTCCGAGACTGTTCTGAAGTATTTTTGACGTTCTGTTCACAGAACGTTGCTTCAGCCTTCGCCTCCAAGCAGTGGCGCCAACAAAACCCCAAAAGGAGAATGGGATCGCGAATGGGATCATGGAAAGACACCGTAGGTTTTTCCCGTGATTTTTTATATTTCAAAAATTCCCTCAAACTTTTCAAACCTCGCCGTTATCAGAATTCCTTGCATTTTTCTAAGGGATAAAAATTTATATTTTAGAGCCGAAACATGGCGTGAAAATGTGCCGTCTATAGAGACCCGTAAGAGACCGTCTGGTCGTGGTGCTCACCAATGGGCGTCAAACCAACGTGGCCATCGAGGTGGCCACAAGACTCGTGGACGGTCAGAAGAGCCGGTGTCTCAGGTCAGTCAAATCTACGACGTAGAAGTTGCCACTAACGTCATAATTGTTCCCTGGCAAACAACTTTAAAAATTCGCTAGAACCATCTACACAGTGAGAAAACCCTGACTAGTTTACATTCCCGTAATGGAGTTGAAAAAAGCTCTTACTGGTTCTATTCAGAAGAAGCCACATCCCAGCTGCTACGCGGACCCTCATTTCTGTTTCCAATTCAGCGGTAGACTGCGCTAAAAACATGATGAAACCCATGGCAAGGTTGAATGTTGGAAATGGGGTTGAGTTTCAGTTCCTAGACTTGGGGCCCAAAGGCAGTGGGCACGATGTCTGGGGCGGGTGGCTGCTGCTAATATCATTGGTGGAAGCGCTGTGAAAGGGCGTTTGGCCACACCCCACTCGTTCGTTCCCTAGTGACTTTTGAAGATAAAGCCACGCCCCGGCGACCTGGCGGACCCTCATTTCTGTCCAATTTGTTTGTGAATTCAGCATTCAGAATTTCCCACGGATATTCTCTGGGTGGGCATTAGCCATTTTAGAAGCCTTCTTCCGAGTGAAAAGGTTGAGCGTACCTTTAACCCATTGAAGACCGCTCGCTTCACCCTGTGGGCAATGCTGAGGCAAATCGCTTTGCTTGACTTTCTGGGCAAACCCTTAATCCCTACCCCCTCTTACAAAGCTGAGAAAATTGCGGTCGGAAAACACATATTTTTCGATAGTAAAGTTAGTAAAGTTATAATAGTGCTCTTATCAAGTGAGAAAAACGAAATGATGAGTAGGCAGTCCGGCTTGGTGTGGGCATTTTGCTGATTTCTCCCATCGGTTCTATGGAGACCTGTGAGCTTTTGTGAGGCTAGGCAATTGCAGGAGCTTTCACATTTGGCAGGAGTCTGCAAGTCTCACCAACTTAAGACGTGTTCCTTAACAGGAGCTAGTAGGCCACAGTGGTAATTTGGGAATACCCCCCCCTGAGCCGACCGATGCTCGATTGGAGGTTACACAAGCATGACGGCGCTCCGCAATGGGTAAAATAACTAAGGTTCTATTCTTCTACTGGTTGGGCTACCACGCGCGTAATATTCTGTGAAACCGGACAGTTCGGCATGACTAAAAAAATGGCCTCCATAGGGTTCCATCAACCATTATGTGACTGGGAAAGTATTATGGAACAACGAGGAATGATTGAAATCGGACGGAACCGGATGACATAAATTTCTCAAGAGAGTGGTTTTTATCCCGGCACCGACTAGCTAGCTACTGTTTGTAGCTCGATACCATGCATTTACAAGGGATACCGGATTAACTTCAACATGAGGACAACTTTCACCCTTCACATTTGTCCCAACTAGGAGCTTGGTCTGTTTAGTGTGGACTACCTCAAGTAGCAGTTTGACAGAGAGCTGGCCCAGGAACCTCGAATGTGATTAAATGTTCGCCTATATTTAGTAGGTTATCGCAGGAAATTCATAGAAATTCCTGGAATGATTATTGCAGGTGAATAGAGGAAGTCGATTGGAAGGGAGAGTAACGGTCCATCCAGAACAGAACTCTGGCAGCCGACGAGGTCGAGGTCGAGGCGGCACACGCAATCCTGCCCGCCATGTCACCAAAACCGATGGGGATCTGAAGATCAGCGTCAAAGCAGGAGATGTGAGTCGAATCTTGCGCTTTTTACACCAGGGCACGTCTTTTCTTAGTGAAAATTTTTAAATTTCTGCCAAATACGGGCCTCCATTAAAATTCCCCGCTCTGGTACGACTCCCCCTTTTTCTATTTCCATCCTATTATACATGCCATCTTTCTAGACTGTCCCACTTTAATCCATTTTTTGGAGTCTTCTCTCAAATATTCTTCTTCTTTCTCCCATAGAACTGCTGCCGAATGGAGGGGGGGGGTCATAGTGTACATGAAACGAAAAACCTCAACAACCGAGAACCTCTTACTGATCGTCAGTGGCAAATATGACTCCCCTCGCTGCAGCGACCAAATACAACGCTCTCGCTGAGGATCCCAACTTACGGCATACCCTGTTTCTCACGCTCTTTTTTCTCCCGAAGAGATTGCATTGGCATGTTTAATCAAGAAATTTTACGCCGAAGCGCGAACCGAACGCTAAGCTGGGTGCGAATTTTCTTTGACTCTGTCCCTATGAAGAAATCCCGCCCACTCTGATGAAGTGTTGCTTTTCTTCGAGTTTCCAGTTGAGTCTGAGGGCCCATTCCGCGATGACCCACCAGATTGAACTCCTTCATTGTGCAGGTGAGCATGGTCCGCAATCGCAGAAACTGCGCAACTTTTGCAGCTTGAAAGTGAATGAGCTGAAGTCGTCATTGATCCAGCTCAACTGAGCTGCTGCGACTTCTTGATACTGAAACAAAAGCTGTTGCGACCGGGTATTGCTTGGACCGTTATCAAATCTATATCGAGGCGTGTTTATTTTCACCTTGTTCCCCCCTCTTTTTCTCAGGACTCTCATCCGCGCTCTAAGTGTCTGCTTGTCTCTCGCTCTTTCGGGCGCTCGTACAATGCAGTGTACAATCTAACTACTATCGTGCACAGTCGTGCCTTATTTGGGTCGTTTCGGACGGATGTGCTCATTACTTCTCTAGTAAGTCAACTAGCATCTGCGAGCTCATATGTGAGCCCAACTGCCTACGACACGGGGGCTGGACGCGTTCTGTAGTTGAGGAAAATTTTTGAAAAATACGACACCCCCCCAATCCTTTTGCTCCGGCGCGATCCCCGCCCCCTTCCCCACCTTGAACTCTTCCAGCTTCCCACCACTTTTTCGAAGTTTTTCGCCTAAAATTTCTTTGCTCCTTCGCTTTCCCTCCTTCTCGCGGTGGGCGGGGGGGGGGGGGAACGGGAATATACACTTGTGACTGCTTAACCGAGAAAAGTCAGCAGCCGTATACATTTCATTTTCAGAGGCATGTGCACCCGCCCCTACCTTCAGCGACCGAATACGACCCCCCCCCTCCCGATCTCCAACTACGAGTCGTGGAATCGTAGAATGGGTCGTAGTGAATTTCAAGGTGATAAGTTAATTTCAGGATAACTCCAATCATCCCAAGCACCAAAGAAATACGCGACAAAGTGCGAAAACTTCTTCAAACAATAAGGATGACCCGTCAGCGGGTCAGAATTCTCCTCCGACGAAAAATAGGCCAAGGGTATGTTACTTGTCTACTTTTTTCAGAACTCACGCAATCACTCAGTGTAATGTCTGAAATGATTTGCGATCTAAGGACTGGGAAATGCTCTTATTTCAGATGAACAAAGACGAAAATGAAAGAGTATCTAAAGAAAGAAAATAAGAAGAAGTTTTGCGAATTACCCCCCACCTCCCCAGACATTTTCTCCCTTGGTACATCCTCCTTCCTTACCCGTCCCTCGTCTTCTGAAAGTTTCTCAACTTCCTATTACTTTTCAGGAGCCTTTTTCTCCTAAAATTCCCAATTCTATCAAAAGACAGCCCGTCGAAGCAGAATTGGAGGGGTGTTGACAACACAGGTGACACATGGAAAACCGAGGAAAAAAAGTCAAACTATAAACCTTTGAAATTCTAAAGGCAAATGCTGCCCTCACTTGCTGGGGATCCCCAGTCCCGAGGGCAGTAGTCAAAAGAATTTAACTCAGAAAACACACTCCACGCTTGTCGCGGACGTGGCTTGGCCTACCACTGCGTCCTTCTCATTGGTGCAGCCCTTGTTTGTCAAACAAAGGATGGCGCGCCAACGAGCCAATAAGGTGGGCTCAGTTGTGGTCCTGGTTCCGCCCACACGACCAGGGCGGACTGTGCCATTGCCATTGTTGTGCTTGCTTTCAGCAGTTGAAATAACTTGACATTTTTGACTTTCAGAGACGCTACACGGAGAAGTACGAGATCAAGCAATTGCTACGGGCACTCGTGAATAAAGTGGAAAAAGCGGAACGCAAAGAAAGGCAACAGAAGCAACGACAGCTGAAGGAGAACAACGTCGTCGACGACTCGAAGACTTCTCCAACAGACGCTAAAGCAAACGCCGAGAACACTCCTCCGACGGTGGCTTCTGGAGCTGTTGAAGGAAAAAAGTCCATTGAAGAAAAGAACAAGGATGCCAAGAACTCGGCCGAAGAAGCGACCGTCAAAGCCGAGTCGGCGCCGACAGCGACGAATCCAACCGCAACAGAGGCTAAAGAAACCAAAGAGCCGGCGCTGTCACCACCACCACCACCACCACCACAGAACCCGGCGTCACGGCCCCCGCAGACGCCAACCAGAACGTTATCAAACTTGTCGAAGAGAAAGTGCTTCACATTGAGATGTCTTAAAGAAGACCATGATGATTTTTTAATGCCGACAATGAGTGCTGCTCTTACCGTATCTGTGATTGAATAAGCCTTAGTCTGTTCAGTTTCCTAGAGCTATTTGCGTAACGCATGTAATGTACATACGTATTGATTGATTCATTAACTGAATCCGGCTTTATTTCAAGAATTTTCGCTCCAACTTGTTTCACTGATGATGAAATACCGTGTGTTAGCCTTATAAGGTGCCAAATAGTTTTCTACACGAGTAAAACGCTTCTCTTATGCTCGCTTCACCTTTAACATGATTTTTTTACTTAACTATTATTTTTAATAAAAATTATTTTCATCTAGTTGAGGGAAGATTGAAGATTCGGTTCCAGTATGTTAGAAATGTTAGAAATGTAGCGAGGTGGTATAAGAGGTGGCGAGTGGTGCCGCTTATTAGACGCACAGTGCGAGCGCTGGATCGAGTATGTAGGTGAGCAAGACGACTGCGACAACTAACAACGTGGGCGGGTTCGCTGGAGCAACCTTGCCGCCCCAGCCCTCCTATCTTGCAACTTAGCACCTGAACGAGGCATCCAAGCATTCTTTCATTGTTGGCTGATTCAAAGAGGACTCGTCTGGAAGGATAAAACGTTGTTTTGCTCTCCCCGTTGCATAAGCGAGGATCGTCACAAATCTTGTCTTAATCGCGTAAAAAATGCCAGGGCGATTCCGAAAGAGAGTAGAATGCACGGGGCACCCCAAAAGTGATCAGTTACCACTGAGTTTATCCTGTTAGAGGTCTAGCGTTGCTTGAGGAGCAGGTTACAATCAGAGCACGCCGTACGTTGGGGTTCCCAGCGAAGGGATCGTTGTGGCGACAGGGTTGGTTGCGGGACTGCAAAATTTTGGAAAAAAAACTGGAAAATTCCCAGGACATTCAGAACAACTGGTAGGAACTTGGAAAAACTCCCCAGGGAAACTCAGGTTTTAGGCAGGATGAGAAAAATGGAAGTGAGGGGTACAGGCTGTTTTGCACAATTTTCTCAACGGCTTGTCCTGGCTACAACTCTTTTGTGGAGGATCAAAGATAGCGAAAATCAGAATCGCTTTGCTTATGGAGCACAGCAACACGGGTTACATCAAACGGATCGACCGAGTAGATGATCGTCCTGGATACCCTGTTTGGACTTCTTCACCAGTCCTTCAACTCTTCGGAACCCTTTGAACCTATGTGGATGAGACTTCATGATGTACGAAGGTCAACCCGACTGGTAAAGCCGACTTGTAAAAGACGTGACACAATGTCACTGTGCTAGCGGCAAGACGTAAGGGTCTCTTCATTAGCAGAGCGACGATTTCCTGAAGTCTACATCACCAGCGATTTGGGGAAATCCCTGCAGTCGCTTCAGGCTGACGCTAATACTAAAGGACTCTTTGAATACATTGCTGATGGTGACTGGCTGCACCTTCTCACACCCATGGAGATGGTGAATCACAGCTTGCCTGCACTTAATGGCGGAAAGGAGGAAGGGAATGAGTTGTGTGCATCGGAAGGACAACCTGTACAGGTTTTCGCCTTGAAAAGTTGTGAGATAAGTGCGTTAAGACGCATTGTTGCTCCAGTGACCTACGACCATTCTCTCTTTCTCAACTTTCTCCTAGATAGTTTCACTTGCTTCATTACTGATCCGCGTTGCTAGTTGCCGCACCTGCCGTCTAGGTCGTTCCCATGCTGTATCGCCTGGTTTCTCTCTCGGAATCCCCATCGATTCTTTGCCTCTCATTTGAAAAGGAAGGCTTACTTGAGATTGGCGCCGAGACCTCTGGCAAGGGAGGTCTTTCACGTCGTCGCGCGCTTTTTGGAAATGGTTTTGTTGCTTGTTGTAGGGGTCCATACAAGGGTCACAAAATGGGTTTCATTTTTGCTATGCGTTTCTGGCAAGGTCAAAAACTGAGTGAAAAGAATTTGATAAGAATGGGCGATTTTAACTATCTTAGTTGGCTCCGTTTTCATTGTAACTTCGAGCATGCATAGTTTATGAGGTGCTCGTTAATTAGGCTTCAAAAATATTTTCAAATAAAGTATCGCATCGTCGTCTCATCCAGAATCCATCGAGTTATCCGCTGCGCCGTCGATCACGACAGTGAGCATGAGGGGAACGCTGACAAAAACATCACTGTTGCGTCAGTGCATGCGAAGTGTGTTACTACATGATATTTAAATTTTGACTTTATTTGAAATTATTTTCGAAGCCTAATTAAAGAACACTCATAAACTATGTGCCATGCTCGAGTTACGATCAGAACTGAGCCTATTAAGATAGTTAAATCGCCCATTCTTGTCAAAATTTTTCACTCAATTTTTGACCTCCCCAGAAACGCATAGCAAAAATGAAACCCATTTTTAAGATCCTTCCATGGACCTCTACAACAAGCAACAAACCATTTCCAAAAGACCTGTAAAGACCTCCCTCGTTAAGTTATTAGGAAGAGCAAAAATGAACTAGCAAAGTACGAAATGCCTTTCCACCCCCCCCCGGTCGCTAAAGGCGATCAGCGCTCCGTAAATTCAGTAAAAGTAACAGCACACGAGTATTAGCCTGTGAAAACTTGCTTAAGTTAGAATTCCCCCAGATCGATGTTCACTGGAGACACGACATGGCACACAACTCTGGTTGGAATCTCCAGACACAACTGAATGTTTCGTTTCGGGGTCGTGAGCCGTGAATTTGAGCCTGCAGGACGCGATGCCACTTGTATGGCCTTTTTTGGGGGCAGCGTTAGCTGTTTGCAAAGGATGGGAATAGCAGGGAATTAGCCCGATCGACGTGAGCGTACATAGAATGCCTATAGCAATAACCCACTGCTAAGCAGGGGGAGCCCCACTGCCTAAGCAGCGGGGAGCTAGTATCTACTGCTCCTGCTCTAGTTATCAGATGAAAACCTCTCAAGCAGTTCAACATTGTGGTCTGAGACACTAATTTTCATCTTTCGTTCGGAAAAATATTTCACCGAAGTGGGACTGGGACTTTTTAGAAATCGAGAGCTCATATAAACTTGTTCCGTGCATATGCTGGGGCGTTTTAGGGAGCTGGGTAAAGGCGCGGCGCTAGACTGTTCCCCATCAACTGAGTCGCCTGCCAGCTTCCACAACTGGTGGAGAACAGGTTGGAGCCGCAACAAACTCAGCCCACTGAAACGCTACAGCGTCCCAGGCGAACAAGACTGTAGAAAGTTCTTGACACGGGTGATGGTATCGGTCGTCAACTATGAAATCTGCGTCAAAGCCAACAGTCGCAATCAGAGAAGCAAATTTTGTAAGCTCCAGGGTATGACCGCAGCGCCAAGCGGGAATTTCGGTGCAAGTGACCGAGGGGGAGCATTTGAAGGACCTTTCGGACTCTCCACCTTGTCAAAACTGGGGATCATGCGTCATATTATAGTACTAATGACCGTGAGTTGAAACTTTGTTCTTCAACATCGGAGCTAGCTTTCTGTTCTCAGAAGTCCGCAACTTCATACGATGACCATCAGGTTTTGCAGTTTGAGCCCTTTGAATGCCTCTTCCGAGATTATTGGACCACACTCTCCCTTGACACAGCCTTTTTTTATTGAACAAGGCCCCTGTGGAAAATTCCTCGGCGTACATTTGGCCCTTTATGAAAGTCCCATCCCAAAATTAGAGCTAGACAGCATACTGTGCATGGATAACCAGCCCAAGTGCCAGTAAGAGGAATTCACTCTCAGCAGGCAGTGGGCAGCAGTCAATAAAGAGTAGGAGAATGACCCTTGAAGGACTACAACTAGCCACCAGGGGGTCGAGGGCTACCTGTGCTACACGCTATATCTAAGTCCACATCAAGACATTACAAGGTTCAAAGTCAACAAAGCTTGAAAAATGGTCAACCGAATCACGCACTTTCTTTGGAGGGAAAACCTTTGAACTGGGACGAAATCAAAGCGGTTGACCCCAACGTAGCATTTCGTTCCACCCTTTTCCCTCCGCCTTCAGGTCAAAAAATTTAGAGACCTCAAATGGAAAGCCTGATTCCGTCTTTATTTGGAGGACAGTGTGCTGGATTGTAGACCAGCATCAAAAGTCAACATTGCTTGACACTCCTTTCTGATGGTGGTAACAAAATTGAATGAAGTACAAGGCATCAGAATAGTAACAGTTATAAGGAAACGAAATGGAGCAGACACGATGTAGCGGCAAGAGGCTATGGGAAGGCTCCCGCAGACGGCCAACAAACCTCTCAATCCTCCCGGGTAGCTGGATTGATACAAGATTTGTCCGGGACGATAAAGACACTGACGGCGCAGTTTGACGACGGGGGGCATTTTGTACTATCACTTGCTTCCCTAGTTCCGGTTTACAAGTCTCACTCTGGCGAAACCTGTGAACTCTTGTGAAGCTGGAGCAAGCTCATCTAGCCATCATGGTATGGTAAAACCTGTCAACTCGAGAAGAGGCTATCTATGTAGGTCGACACGCCTATGGGAAGAAGCGAAACTGCAAAATCCCCCCCCCCTCCTTCATCAAACTGCGCCGACACTGACATGTACAGGACTGGCTCGGCTGGTCGTGAGCAAACCGGTTGATAAATCTTAGACACGGGTCAAGTATCTGGGAGTTGAAATATTGGCCCTCCTAATTATTTTGTTCATTGACGATCTTTCCTTGAAAGCGAGTTCCATGAGCCTTCAGGAAAATTCCAGGTTGACTCACAAGTGATCTGCATACCGCAATCTCTGGAAGAGGCAAGAACTCAAGCTATTCGAAGATTGAGGCCCTCCTCTTCTCACAGAAATTTCTGTGAGATCTTCCCACCAGACCATGTCATCCTCGTGTCACTTTAAGTACTTACGTAATAACTGCAGGTACCTCGATGCGCCAGATGTGGGTGACTGCAATCCTTTCCGGGTAATATTTCGGCACGCTATGCTGCCTTACAAGGTACTTTGCTGTGTTCTTGCAGGAATTCAACGTGGGATCTATTGGTCGATAAAATATCACACGCCCTAGAAGGACTTCAGAAAGCTGAAAGTCCCACCCTGGCCCTAATGGACGGCTATTTCAAGGCGTAGCGGGTCCTCGTCTGTCTGTGTTCTCCAGAAAATCGATGGCGTTGGATGCTGTCTGTGCTGGCTGCGCAATAGGTGAAATTCGATCCTACGTGTGTGGGTACCGTATACCAGGCATCCGGGAAGAGCTCACTACGAAAACATCCTGCACCCAAAGCTGCAATCGTCGCTGCTAAAGCTGGATTGAGCCAAATCATATCCCAAGATCCCAAAGATTCTCAGAGACCAGATCGGTTCTTCAAGTGGTTGTTTTAGACCAGCTGTTCGCGCACCCCTCACGGAGATGGTCGGTTGAAATTGATACTACCGCCCAGAGTGGCGTTCTGGGGGCGCTTTTGTAGTTTCCGCTGATCGGTAGCCGGTCTGCGTTTCTTCGAGCCGCCGTACTTTCTTCCCGAACGTGACAACCAGATGACAAGCTATAACTGAAATTATAGCCCAGGTCACTGTGGGAAACTCACTGGAGCCATTACTGCAGTGCTAGAGCCGGTTCTGTGGTCGAATAGATTTTTAAAAAGTTAAGGAAACAAAATAACGGTATACCTAGGAAAAAACATAATAAAAAAACAGTGGGAAGCGACAAGGCTAAATTTCACAAACCTAGATAGCCAAACCTATTTCAAGTGGGATTCCAGTTCATCTGATAATGAGAATGGGCCAGAATTTTTTTTATTTTCCTGCTTAGCTAATTATTTTACTATGAAGAGCTTGGAAGTTTGAGCGTAGGTCAGCCCTAATTGGAATGAGCCGCGCATTCTAGATATCCTTGGAATCGCAATGGCTATTCGATCGCGATTTCGTCCATACAAGCAATTGTGTAGCCTAGAAAGAAAGAATAGAAAGGCACTAAATTTTTTCTCGTCCTAATCCTATTGGATTAGTCGGGTAGATCTGCCGAGGGGATGGAAGGATTGGTAAACTTGGGATTTGAGCCCTGGACCGTACGCGTAGTGTAAGCGCCGCTTGCTACTCCACAACCTGATCCCCCTTTCACCTTGTATTATGTAAAATAATACCAATTTAGGCGCAATTCGTCTTGGTGTGGGCAACGAATGGTACTCACCTAAGTTTCAACAGAA